TTGAATATGATGTGATCAATTTCATTGTGGAACCATCCACTGGGAGACTCCCATGTCCAATGTGTACATTCGGCATTCTTTAACTGTGAGTTACCCTAGATGGTCTTGGTCCACATGATAAACTCGAATAGTCTCTCATCCTGTTCGTTTTATTCTAGGCCATGGTTCTGGATGTGGAGTTCTTAGGTTGATCTCATTTTAATGCCATTATCTTGCCATTAAAATCACCGACAATGATCTTGGCCATGCTCCAGGCTGCTTTCCGGATGCTTGGACCGAGACTCATGCATGAGTGAAACCCCAGGTAAGTGTAACTTTGTGACCTTGGACTCCAGGCTCAATGAGACCCAGAAACAGAGATCCTCTGCTTGCTCCCACCAATCTCCGGCTACTCAGGGATTAAACCCAGAAGCCCCACCCACCCTGCCCTGCCTGCTTCTACCAATCTCTGGTGTCCCAGGGATCACACCCAGAAGCCCCACCCTACTGGTACCAGATAAATACCTCATTGGCCGACCTCCACTACCTCCACTATCTCCACTAACCAGCCAATGCCATGCTCCAGGCCGCGTTCTGGACCGTGCAGCTGCTTCACGGCTACACAACAAATCTAAGACACTTAATATCCATCTTTCAAGATTACCATACCATATTTGATGGGGTTCAAATATGGTTTGAACCTTGGGAACACCTGCAAGGGCAATTAGAGGCCACCCTAATAACCTCTATCCCTCTCAGATAGCTTAGCAAGCTACTGAGAGTATTCCACTCGCATAGCAGAGCCTGGCAAGCTGAGAGTATTCCACTCGCATAGCAGAGCCTGGCAAGCTATCCATAGTGTATTCGATATGCCAAAAACAGTAAATGCAATGGGTCTCATTCTCCTGACTCTGACAGAGCCACCAATATGGCAGCATTAAGAAGGATGAGGAAGGAGAAGCTGATAAAATCTCAAGGCTATACTAGGCTGCCAAAATGAAGAAGGACTAAAATGACTGTCTGTACTTTCAATGCACTTACACTGGCATCGGATGCATCCATTGAGGACCTGATGGTGCAAGCGCAAAAGATCAAGTATGACATCACTGGTCTGACTGAGATGAGAAGGCATCAAGCAGCTCACACCATTTTTGACACTGGAGAAGAATTGTTCCTTGGAACATGCAACAAAAGAGGCATCAGTGGTGTAGGCGTCCTTGTCAACACGAACTTGGTCATGACCTTTGATTCATTTGAATGCCTAACAACCCGAATCAGACGATTACACTTGAATAGATGTGGCTTGCTGCCGGAAGTTTCTATCTTTGTTTTTCTACTCACCAACATCCAATTATGATGAAGAAGTTGAGAAGTTCTACACTGTGACAATGATAGTTGAAAATGATCACTCTGGATAAGAACTGCCTGCATAAAGGAGGTAAATAAACATGATAACCTCTTTACTGCATCTGTGTTGCAAATCAGAATGCCCAAAAGGAGAGAGGGAGAAAGAGGTAAAGTGATTGCTATAGAGGCAAGCTGGGAGTAGGGGATGGAGGTGGGGAGAAGGGAAACTGGGGATACTGGTGGTGGGGAATGTACACTGGTGGAGGGATGAATGTTGGAACATTGTATGACTGAAACCCAACCATGAACAGCTTTGTAACTGCATATCTCATAGTGATTCAATATAACAAATAATTATAAAAATGCTTCTTCCATGAAAACTTGGTTCCTCTTACTAGAACTGAAGCCCAGTGAGTGTGTCCTCCAATTCTAGTTATAGGTCTGAGGCTTTTAAGCCCATTTACTTTATCCCATGAATAGTTAAAGCAACCCTTGGGGAAAAAGAAAATGGGAGGTATCACTTTCCCCAGCTTCAAACTGTACTACAAAGTGGTAGGAATTAAATCACCATGGCATTGGAATAAAGATAGACCTGCAGATCAATGGAACAGCATTGAATATCCTGACACAGACCCTCAAATGTATGATTATTTAATCTTTGACAAAGGAACAAGAAATATGAAGTGCAGAAAAGAATTCCTCTTCAATAAGATGCTGGGAAAATGGGGCAAAAAAATAAACATGCAAAAAAATAAAAGAATTCATACTTCTTTCTAACAGCATGCAAAATAAGTCAGATCAAAATGGATTAAAGACCTCAACATCATATCTATATCCATAATTTATTTAGAGGAAAATGTAACCAGAACTCTCCATTACATTGAAGCTAAAGGCATAATCATAACTGAAATATGACTGACCAAGGAAGTCAAAGCAAAGATAAGCAAATGAAATTACAGCAAACTAAGCTTTAACACCTCAGAGGAAACAGTTATAAGGATACAAAGACAGCTCATGAAATGGGAAAAATTATTTACCCAACACTTATCTGATAAGGAGTGAGTATCAAAAATATATACAGCACTGGTAAAACTTCCAAAGAAAAAAATCCAACCCCATCAAAAAATGGGGAGAAGAAATGAACAGAAACTTTCTCAAAGAATAAATTCAAATGACTAAAAGGCACATGGAAAAATGCTCTACATCACTAAACATCAGGTAGACGCAAATCAAAACAACAAGATATCATCTCACACTACAGAGACTGGCACACATCCAAAGGACCAAGAACAACTTCAGGGAGAAAGGGACTCTCATTCATTGCTGGTGGGAATGTTGACTGGTCCAGCTTATTTGGAAAACAATATTGGCATTCCTCAAAAAGCTAGAAATTGATTTCACTTCTGGGAATACATCCTGGGGCTCCAAAGACACACAGCAGAAACACCATATGCACTTCTATGTTCGTTGCAGCACTATTCACAATAGCCAGAATATAGAAACAACCTATGTGCCCAAGAACAGATGAATAGATAAAGAAACTATGGTAGTTCTACACAATGGAATACTACACAGCTGTTAGGAACAAGTGAAATTTGCCTACAAATAGATGGACTTAGAGAGTCTCATGCTGAGAAAAATGAGCCAGAAATAGAGGGACAGATATAAAATGATTGCATTTATCTGTGGGATATAAAAAATAAACAGTATTAAGCTAGTATCCAAGGCCAGGGAAAGTTAAAATAGAGGAGGGTCCATTGTGGATCATTAGTTGGAAATGATCACTCTGGACAAGAACTGAGTTGAAAGTAGTTAATGGGATATTACATGATAACCTTTCAGCATCTGTATTGCTAACCATAATGTTTAAAATGAGAGAGAGAGAGAGAGAGAGAGAAGAGGTTTCTGCCATAGAGACAGGCATGGGTGGGAGGTGGCTTAAAGGGGTGGAAACTGGGAAATTACTGTGGTGGAGTGATGGGTGTTGGAACGTTGTATGACTGAAACCCAATTATGAACAGCTTTGTAATGCTCTATCTCATAATTATTGGAGGAGGAGGAGGAGAAAGAAGAAGGAGGAGGAGAAAAAGGAAGGAAGAGGGAAAAGAAGAGGAAGAAAGAAAGAAAGAAAGAAAGAAAGAAAGAAAGAGAGAGAGAGAGAGAGAGAGGGAGGGAGGGAGGGAGGGAGGGAGGGAGGGAGGAGAAGGAAGGAAGGAAGGAAGGAAGGAAGGAAGGAAGGAAGGAAGGAAGGAAGGAAGGAAGGATATGGAGGCAGCCTGGGGATGGTGGTGGGAGGTAAACTGGGGACATTGTGATGGGAAATGTATACTGGTGAAAAGATGGGTGTTGGGGCATTGTATGACTGAACACAATTATGAAAACTTGGTAACTGTATGTCATGGTGATTTAATTAAAAAATAAACAAATAATGTTTGCTTGAAACTTGGAGGAATTTTGGAGCCTGAAAGAAGGAATAGGGAAAGGCTCTCGCCTTGCATGCCTTCATCTAGGTTTGATCCCTAAACCTAGATGAAGATCACCAGAGTGATCATTTCCTCCTGCTGCATATGGTTTCCTCGGTATCACCAGGAGTGACCTCTGAGCACAGAGCCAAAAGTAAGCCTGGCTCAGCACCACTGTTGTGACCCAAACCTATCCCCACACCCCCCAAATTAGGAAGGTTTTTTCCTGTTTTGGTTTTCCTGTTTGGTTTTTCCTGTTTTGGTACCACATCCAGCAGTGCTTACTCCTGGCTTTCTGCTCGAGGATCACTCCTGGCAGTGTTCAGGGGACCATATGGAATGTCAGAAACGGAGCCCAGGTTGGCTGCATGCAAGGCAAGTATCTCAGCCACTGTCCCATCTCTTTAGCCCATAGGAGGATTGTTCTTTAAAATGGGTTTTATTGCCTTTGGGAATATTGTTTTGTAACTTCAACTCTTAGCAATGAATTCAGAAAGCAAAGTTTGTGTCTTTAAAAATAACATGTCAAAAAAAATAACCTTTTTTCTTCTTTGAGAAACACAGACACCACTGAAATTTCAAGTGCTTTATAATGACCTGAGCTCTCAAAACTCCAGAATGTAGTTGATTATTATGCTTTCACAATAATGGTTCCCTCTTAAAATGTGAATGAGCAGCTTGTGGAAAAAAAAAGAAGAAAGGAAAAAGTAGCACACTTCCTCAACCTGTGCTGACCCTATTCACTTGGTTATATAAACACTTCATGTATTTTATTTCTGTACTCCAGCTCTGATCTACATGCTTGACCTAAAACTTCATACTTTACTCCATGCAATGCCATACATAATAGAAAGAGTTTTTTTAAAAAGATATTCTCCCAAATTGCCATAGGTTTGTATCATGTAGCATGGCAAGGAGGAAAAAAAAGCTCAAATAAAAGGCAAATAGTTTTGCTTTTTAAATATATGTCCCCAAAATGATTTTAAAATAATATGCACATCAATCATTTTCAAGGCAAAACTCATTTTAACTTTGTAAACAAAGAAACACTAATTTTATAGAATCTGTTTGGGCTGTAGTGACCCAATTATCTGGTCAAAGGGCTGCATGGATGCAAGAGACAGGGTGAGTTAACGTTTAACTCCCAGGAATTGTAAACCAAACCTAAAGCCACTGAACCTTTGGAGTTTGATATGATGATTAGAACCTAACCAGAGTGACACGCTGAATTCGCCATAATCAAGAAAACCTTTTCCGGGTGGGGAACTCTGAAATCACTCAGGTATAGTTCATGTGTTTTGCTTTTTCTATTTCGACTCTGTGAAAATGTGCAATGTGGATCAATGGGCGTGCAATGAAAGTAGTTTTTGTCCTATTCTGTTGCAGAATCAGATTCAAGGAATTTTCCGGTTTGTTCTCATACCCATAAAGCAGACTGAAAATAAGAGAATATATTCTGGATGATCATATAATCTCAGAATAACATGGCAACCATCTTTCAACCATTGTTTTAATTCATTTCTGATTTTTAAATTTTAGTTTCAAAAGTAGGACTCATGTTTTTGAGAGATTTATTTAGGAATAGCCAGAAAGAAGGGAGCGGCATTGCTGACTGCTTGCCCTGATCCTAGGACCATAGAAAATATTTTTCAAGTGATTAACAAATATTAATATCATTAGCTTCTTTAAGCATTTGTTATTCTGAGTTCTTACACTTTCATTCTTATATTTTCAGTTATATCCTTTCATCTCATTTAATCTGCACAATGATAACACGCAATCATCTTGTATTCTTGCTATTTCCTCTCATTATCCTACTAACTGAAGGAATGCTCTAAGCATTTGCTTTCCATTCTAGGAAACCAGAAAACAGAAATTTTCATGGAAAATGATTGGCTTTTTATGTTAAATCTCAACCTCAGGATGGCTAATTATTAGATCTTCTCCTTTCTGGATGGTTTAGGCAACTATGCTGCAGTGGATTTACTTTCACCTGATTATTCATTTCATCAATATTATTTCCAACTAAAATGTGATAATATTTTATTTAAAACAATAAACCAGTCAACACTCTTACCAGGGATATACCACTGTCATCAGAAATCTCTTAAACTCTCTAACTGAAATAATTTTTTCCCATGAGTATCCAGGTCAAGATCAAATACCAGGTTAAATAATTTTATTAAGAATAGGATTATTATTAATAAAATTATATATAATATGTTATATATAATATGTAATTAAATATAATTAACAATATGACTATTGAAAACAATAGGACTATTGACTATGCATCATAGAAAATTTGTGCTTTGTAAAACATATTGGCAAACAACTCTAACTCTGCTTTAGAAGCATCAAAGATGTATTGGTCTATTCTGAAACATACATGGAAATATGACAGGGAACATAACATAAGGATACAGGTCTGAGAATAAAAGTGAAATCACTTACTTCTCAAAGTTCTGAGGCCTCTTCCTTCTAAAATAAAGAAAATAGATGACCTACAGAATCGCTTTTAAAGGTTTACATTTTCTGGAATAATACTGGCACTGCCCATTTGGGAAAATCTCACATTTTACCGCTCCAATTTATTATTTATCAGATGTAAGAAAAGAAGAAAGACTGTCAAAAATAAAAGGAAATTAGTTATTATTATTTATCAGGTGTAAGAAAAGAAGAAAGATTGTCAAGACTGTTATTATGAATAAGCATTACTCGTGATATCAAAGATATAGAATACTGAATATTTAGTTATTATTCCAATAAGTTTTGTGTTAAAATAATACAAAAGCAAATTGGGTTTTCTATCATTTTAAAAATAAAAATTTTCTAGATTCTATTCAATGGACATTAATAAATGTGACTAAAAAATGTAATGCTTCTATAAGTTGACTCAGTAGTGATTATGTAAGTTAAAGCAGATCTTGTTACTACATGAGTGTTTTGAGTTAATAGCAGTAACGAACACAATTGTACTCTCTATATATTTATCTCATGTTATTCTTAGAATATTTACGTAAGATAAATAATACTTTTATTGACAGATAAGAAAACTGGTACACATAAAAGTCACCTAAACTTAGTGTCACCCATTAGCATGCTGAGTCATATTATTCTAAAAATTATCTGACTCAACAATCACACATATAACATTCATTGTACTACTGTATTCATCAAGTCTGGAGAACTGCTTCCTGTAATGATATGCTCATTCATTATGGATATCTAGGAGGCTGGGCAATGCTTTATTTCCTAAGTTACATTTATGACAGAACATCTTCTTTCAGGAATATCTATTAACATCTCTCAGAAATGGTACTTCTCAGAACACAGATTTAGAAAAAATAAATCATTTTTATAGTCTATGACTATCATTCAAAACCAAAATTGATTGAGACCATCACTATTGAAATAATCATGACTCAACACATCAGAGGGACTTTCTAGTTTAGCTGTTTCACATCAAACTGAACCACACACATTTAAGGGCTATTCTAATTTAAATATAGAAAGAATGCTGGGCTTCACCCTTGACAGAGAGCCTGGAGTCCTTATTTCAAAACTCCCTTGACTTCTGACATAGGGAATACTACTCAACTTCTGTGAATCTTAGATTTCTCAGATGTGAAATGAGAGTAAAATCTGTTTCAAAGAATTAAGTGAAGATTAAATGAAACAATATAGCAAAACACTCCAATCTCAGCTTACAGTAGGAATTCAGCAAAATTTAAGGATTTTCCTTTCTATGTCACTATCTCTAACAGGCTCAAGAGCAGTTTTCTACATCATTCCAAACTAACTCATTAGTTCTTTTCTGTCAAAAGACTAATAATAAATTTTAAATACTTTAAATGTAAATTAGTAATGACATTTTCATTAGTGAGAAACAGTAATACTATTTATTTAATCAGAGGGAACAACTTACAATTTTCTTTTAATTCTAAGCACACACAGTGTATACTTTTATCTTAGAGAATGTTGCTCAAGAAAACTTGTAATTAAAAGCCAATGCCCTTTTCACTGAAATCCACAGGACACTCTGTCATGATGTGTGCTCATTTCATCACACAGGCAGTTGATATTAAAAATCTGTTTCAATAACTATCTCTTAAAATAGTGCCATCCCTCAGGAACCTTGGTTTTGCCTTGGGTATGATTGCACAATGACTTGCGTTACCTTATGTGTCTCTAAATGACTCAATAAGTTCAAACAAGACAGTATTGATCCACAGAGGATAAACATCATTTTATCTTATTCATGGAAACAGTAACCAGGCTTCTCTAAAGTGCAGTTCTAACAATCCCACCCGCTAACACCCACCTGGGAAAAGCATCTGTAACTGGAGCAGCACTGTTCCAGTGATACTGTATATTGGAAATCTAAGTATGTCTGCTATTGACCAAAAACTACAAAATCCAGGCAATTAGCATTAACAAATATTGGATTAGGCAAGCAATTGTTCCATCAATTCTATGCTTACTAGCTTTAAAAATTATTTACAATTATTTTCTAGTTTTGTGCTGAATATATTTTCTTAATCCAAACCCACTGTAAAAATATTAACTAGACTGAAATATTCCACGACTTTGAACTCTCTAATTTGAAAAAATTTTAAGATATTTAAACTAAGCTTCTCTTTTATGGACATACATGTAAAGTTTTATGTAAATAGTGATAATCATATGGAAAATATGTAAGCTTCGCTTATCTTCTGTTAATATTAAGAAGGAAGCAATAATAAGAATTAAGGAAACTCCGTCTAGTTTGTAAAGTTATTATAGTATTCTATTCAGTCAAGAATATAGCTCTGAAGAATGAACATGATATTCAACTAAATGGAAGAGCTGAATGAACAAATTGGTTTGCAGTTTATAAAATCCCATCTTTAATAATTTAATTTCTTCCCTTCCTCAAAATTAAAAAAATAATTATTTTTTGAATGACCAGTTGACAGCAAAATTGCTACCATAATTTCTTATTTTCACAGTATAGTCTAGTTAGAAAAAAAATTACACACTTTATTGAGTTTTTTAATGCCAAATTGCTTCATATTTTATTTAGTGCACCTAATTTCTTTAAGAAAATGGAGTGATTATTCATCATTCTAGTTGTTCAAAACAAGTTTGATGAAAAATGCTCTAGAATTTAAGTCTAGCTTCTTTTATGTGCCATAGAGCTGATTATTTAGTAAGCCTCTAGATACTAAACTTGATATTAACTAATTAATAGAGAAATTGAGAGGTTATGTTAAACCGAACTGACAACATAATAATCCACATAGAAGGTAAAAGAAAAATTAATTCCAGGCAGGTCCTAGAAGAAAAACAGCCCTAAAAAATTAAATCTAGTGCAGATGCTGCAAAAAAGTAAAAAAGGGGGGGAGTAAAAGAATGGAATATTTCTGGGTTTTTAATTTTGGTTTGGTTTGAGTTTTGGTTGTTTTAGGCAACTCTCGGCTGTGTTCAGGCCCTACTCCTGACTTTGTGCTCAGAATTTCTCCGTGTGGGGCTTGGTGGACCTTAGGAGATGCAGGGTCTTAGAATTTGTATGGAGTGCCAGGGATCAAACCAAGGTCATCTGCATGCAAGATGAACATCTTACCTGTTGAACCATCTCTTTAATCCCAGGAGGGGAATCTCTTGGAAGGCTGGCAAGGCACTGACAAAGTGTCTTATGTAAATGGGACTACTTTTTCCTTCCTATTCACTGTCTCTTATTGATGTTATTCATTCCTCCTATTAGAACTCTAGATGGAGCCTACCCTTTCAGGTAGTCTTATGCATAAAATAAAATGAGGGGCTGGAGTGAGAGCACAGCAGGTAGGCATTTGCCTTGCACACCGCAGAGCCGGGTCTGATTCCCACCATCCCATATGGTCCCCTGAGCACCACCAGGGGTAATTCCTGAGTACAGCGCCAGGAGTGACCCTGTGCATTGCTGGGTATGTCCCAATAAGCAAAAATAAATAAATAAGATAAAATGAATCACCAGATGTGTTTAAACCCGAATTTCTGATGATTCTTCGGTGGAAGTCAGAAATTACAGTCTGATACCATAGAGAAAGACATTATCATGCTGTTCAGAAATCCTTTTTTCAGTACTCTTCTTCTGAACATTAGTAACAATTTCTCACAACCTAGGGATTTATACCAATTAAATAGAATTGGTACCCTATGAGTATTTTAATGAGGCAGCTATTTAATAATAGCTCCTGCATCCTGATAAATCCAGTTGTTAAACTGTCACATGTCAGACTCGTGGATTAACTTTAATTCTTT